AGTCAAAACATGTGCAAAACGGTCATCATTAGATTAATGTTGCCTTCCTCCCTCCAATGCATACTATTTCGTCTTCCCTCTGCTGCTTCGTGACTTGGCATAACGATGTTAAGTCAATGATAAAAAACTCATTGAACGCTGAATGCAGGGACAGTTATAAATATTTGACATTCACGGGTGGTTGCGCTGAACACCAGAGCAAGTCAAATCTAACATGGCTTTCCAACGAAAGCACATCCATTAGAAATGATATCAGTGTTGTTTCCCCGGGAATGTGTAATAGGCTTCGATCCTCTGTCACGTCTGGGAAAGTAAAGTGTCGTGTTTAATGTAAAATAATTATTTCCGCTTGAATATGGCATTGTTGAGGTGAAGGACTGATGGTTAGGGCATTCAATTATTTTATGGGCCACTGATGCATTTTATGACTGATGACCGATTCGCCATTTTTTTAGGAACTGCGTTAGCATTTTTGTAAACTTTTGATTAAATGGATTATATAGTGTTGTCTAATTGTTGTGCACAACATTGTGTGTTAATTGGGTCATCATGATAATTATTGCAATTATTTTCTCAGCATGTTATCTTCTAGGTTAGACAAGTGAATGGCAGCGATTGTTACAATTTTTTTGTTTGTGCATCGAACGGCATGCCTTAGAGCAGTTGTAATTGACATTTTCTCTTTACACCAATGCATTTTTCCCCTAGAAAATGTGATGTTTTATTCATTAAGACGAGTGCATGGATGCAAACTTAAGTATCTAACTTTATATCTGTAACGTTTCAGAACGCGGCAAACGCCCGGACGTCTCTAAAAAGGATGAACGGAAAAAATGCCCCAGTTCGCGAACGAACACTCTTTGCCTCATGAACACGCTATTCTCAAGGGTTCATATATTAGCTTCATCAGTGCGCATTTACTCTCTTATTTGTAATTCTACTTGATCCGGTTGTCATGACGTTGTCGTTGCCATTTCAAGTCTGCCTCCCATATGTTCTTTCCGACTCTCATAATCTCATGGGAGCAATATTTCTACCACAGACCGTAATCCGCATTACAACTTAGTAAGTGATTTTCATGTTTTCGTATGCCATTCTCTGACACGGATATTTTTTCATTAGTGGTACATCCTTTGAGGGACAAAAGCTACCATCTACTTTTGTCCTATGTACCGGTGAAAATTCTCTCGACTTTGCTTTTTGTTGTTTTAATTTACTGCGATATTCTTTTCTGTAGGATAAATTGTTGTGCTAGCCATGCCTTAAAATACGATAACAATGACTAACCCCTATCTGGAGTCGATATTTCTATTTAGTTATTAACACAAGGTGTTATTTTTCAAAGTTTGGTTAAGGTTCATTAAGCCGAAGGTTTGGTTAAGACTCGTTAAGCTCAACCTGATGAATTATACAAACTGGTCAGAGAAATTGTCTGCCCAATGTTGGCTTACGAAGGCCTCACGAGCATTGTGTGTATTTATCTTTAATAAAGTTTAAACCCGCAATAAGGGCAATTAAGTTCCAGGTGGAATTTCTTTCACGAGGAAACTACAAGGACATGAAATATATATGTGTACTACAATCCAAGGCGGTAACACTAGCCCCAAGTCAAATGCATTTTGACGCAAGTTAGGCCAGTTAGTCGATACTCTATAGAAAGACTACCACAGATAGAGAAAGAATAGAGGTAATGTTTTAATCATTTCCTTTGTGTTGTTAAAACTTTGATTTCAAGCCATACAAACAAATTTTGTGAAAACTGGAATATTAACTGTCAGTGTTCAGGGGATGTTTCTGCATCTCAAAATTTCTTATCGTATTGTTTACTTGAAATCGCGCACACATCAAAGCATAATAATAATAATAATAATAATAATAATAATAATAATAATAATAATAATAAACGAACAAATTCTGCCATTCTGATATTGAATTATGAACTTTATCCTAATTGGTAGTATACAACTGGCCTAATCTTCCCAGTCGTTGCTCATAAAAAAGGATATTTAGATCAAAATTAACATATTGAAATATTTCAAAGTTTCCGAGTAAAGAGAAGTCTCATGTGTATTCTAGTACGCAGGTATTATTAAATATAAAACAAAATGACCAGTTACCACCAGCTTAACGGTTTTTTCTCTCTCATTCAAACACCCAACCTCAGAGAGGCCTGCAGTACTGTTTATAAAAATAAATAATTAAACAAATGAGCTATTGAGCTTTGCATGTTGTTCCGTTCTATCTCTCTCCACTCCGGGTTTCAGAGATGTCTGGGAATTCCCGGTAACATCATGGCGATAGCATGACGGCATCTAGTCGCTTACTGTGCGTTATAACACAAACGCGTGGGATGACGGTATTGTTTCTTTAAGTGACCTCCTGGGGCACATTAAAATAATTGGAATTGTGTTATTAATCCAATTGGGGATTCTTGTCCTCAATGACAATGATTAAAAACGTTCTTCTAAACGCGAAACAGAAGGGCAAATAGATATTTCACACGAAGCAGGATCTATTTATAACCGCGAAATGGCACTACTGATGGCGAGTGAAGACCCGCAAATGACCCCCGGTAGGTTAATACTACATGACTGCTTCATACGATTCTTCTTGTATTTGTGTAACGGAAAGATGGCCTGGAAGATTAGACAAAAGAACTTTAATGAAAATAAAAGAGTATAAGGGTATATGTTTAATGGTATGTATGGCAGCCGTTTCCTGAACTGATGTCATACATGCCATTTTAATATCAGGTCATTTAAACACAACCCAATGAAGCTTTTCGTTAACAATGACAATCATGATTATATTGCTTTTCCAACGTTTCCGTAAAGGTAGTATTATGTATGTGTAACGCTCACAGGGGGGAGGGGGGGAGGGGGGGCTCACCTTCTACCTAGCTATCAATGTTGTAGCAGCAGAAGTGCAACAGTGCATGTTATAAGCAGTCTGAAAATTTATTCACTGGTTGCCACTGTCACCGTTGAACATTTTGGTGAGAAATGACATACCGGTAAGACAAGGCCTTTAACACGTGTTCTTTGTTCTTGGACGGATAGGTAAAACACCCAAATGGCATTAGGCGTGTATGCAAATAAAAAATGCAATATTTCTTGAACGCACGATCTACATGTATATCCCGGGATGTGGAGTATGCTGGGAGCAAAATTTCTTTCAGCGAACTGTCCCGCCTCTGTAAAACTGGCTGACACCGCCCAATATATGTACAGTGGCTGCCGTCTTTCTGGGAGTTCAGCTTACGTTCCGATGCAGTTAAATCATTCCTTGCACAGCGTGCTTGTTGAGGCGTTTAGGCATCGCAGATATGTACCAGTGGCAAAATAAATAAGTAGATCAAAAATAAATAAATAAATAAATAAATAAATAAATAAATAAACATTTGTAAGTATCTTCAAAAGAACAGTACGTGTCTCGTGAAGCGATATAGAGTTTCAGAGATTATTGGAAACTTCAACACGACAGTGCCGTTTTTTAAATAATTTATATAATAAATGTACAGATCTGAGAAATAGTAAAATGGTGTAGAAATGTAAACCAGTATTATAAAAGACGTACTATGACTGAAATCCATGTACACATAGTCTGCCAGGAAATGCGACTTCAGTTTATTAGGAGGATGAAGCACAGTTTTTTTTCCATATGTAGTGCAGTAATCTCTTTAACTTTCCACAAAATATCCACAAAAAACTGTCGGGGTGCAGGTCAATGACGTTAACGGACATTTAACTGCGTGTTTCTTCATCACAGTCATTGTCAAAGAATTCTCTTGTATATGTAATTGGTTTTGTTAGACTGGTGCGAAGACAAGCAACAGTTTCAATCCTGTTAAAGTGAAAGTTGACGCATGGGGAGCAGTAAGACTCTAGCAATGACGTCATAAGAAGGCAGGTTTCCAAATTTGCAAAGGAGAATGGAGTAACAGTTGTGAAAAAAAGTGGTTTTAATCCCCTATGCAATCATAAGTATGCACTTCATTTGACGCGGTTTCCTTTTTACGTTATTGCAGCCACAAGTTTGGAAATGAGATGACGAACTGATGATCTATTTGTAAACTGTTGGCAAAGATTTACGTTATATGTGTGGGTATTTTCCTCTTTTACGTTGACACGTGGTCTGTTTTGTGTCTAGTTTTTTCTCTTTCTTTATATATCAGTTGAAACTGTAAGTATGAACTTGCTTTAACACTAAGAGCAAGATAATTAGGTCAAGTTACAGAGAGAGAGAGAGAGAGAGAGAGAGAGAGAGAGAGATGCTGCAATAGACATGAAAGGTAAAATTTGTATCTGTCCTTTCTTCATGGGATCCATTTCCGTGAACCCTATCGATTCCTGGACAACTTTTCTTACTTGTGCTTCACTGCATACATCACAAGAGGAATTAAGCCATGGCATTCTATTAATCAAGATTCAGTACATGTCCTAATAAAGCACTTTACTTACAATCTATGGATTTAAAGATATCTGAAGAAGACATGTTTGCTTTCAAGTACCAGTCTCGTCGACTTACTGGGCGTCAAGTACCTGATGAGGAACGCCGCGGTCAACATTAAGTTAATCATTGCAACTGTAAAGTGTTCTCCTCTGCGGTGTCGTATAGAAAGCAGAGATACAGATAAATTGTTTTAGTACCTTTTCCTCTATGTATCAATATCGGATAACCTTTAAGGTGGAAGCGTTTTTCTTCTTCGAGTTCTGATTTGAAATCTATTTGGAACACTTGTTAGCACGCCTGTTGAGTCAAAGACGATGATGTTCGTGTAAAGTGAGGTCATTGAAACAAAACATGCACTTTTATTTCCACACAGTTTATGCCTGATTGTAGCTGATGAGGGGGGGGGGGGTCGGTTGATGGGGGGACCATCACATGTACATTGCGCCACAGACTTTTAAAATAAAATTTAAATCATGTTATTTTTATCATTTAATATGTTATAATGATATATACATACAATAACTACTATATATTTATGTTCATTTCAGATGATGGAATAGAAAAATCAGTGTCAGTTTTACTAGATGGTAAAGAGACGGAAATGCGGATTTTAGAGCCTCCTGCAGAGCAGGTAAGGCATAAACTTATATTTGCTGTTCACGAATATGTTTTCATTTTCTTTCTTTTATAGTAATAACAAAACTTTTTTTTATGATGATAGAAGTGAAACCTGTAAAGTTCTCACGAGGAATTAAACACCGTGGTTTTTAACAGACCTCTGAAACAGTAAAAATACAAGGAAGAAGCAAGTTTTAAAAACATGGTCCCAAATCTTGTAATCATCATTTTTTTCCGCTGGTACGCGTATTTTCTACATTGCCATCTGCGTCATAAATGACGTCATTTTTTCCACAATATTTCCTCAAGATGAATGTAAATTCGATTCATAAGTGACTTTTTATGCCACATCTTTATCTTCACTTGTTTTTCATTTCAGCAAGAGACAGGTCTTCACGGAGACGCTGACGCAGTAATTATGGTTTACTCTCTAGCAGACCGGGCCTCGTACCAGTACGCCACAGATGTGCTCTTCAAGTTAAGGAACGATTACGTCTCCGACCAGGCTATCATACTTAGTGGGGAATAAAGCCGACATTGTGCGGGCAAGGACCATAACCCAAGAAGGTGAGTTGATAGAATAATAATAATAATAATAATAATAATAATAATAATGGTGGTGATGGTGAAAGTGCGTTCCATTTCTTTCGTGGTCATGTGGGTATAATAATAGAAAATAACACAAGACAGTGTATTTACTTCATAATAATAATAATAATGACATGTTCCACGTGTTTGGTGGTAATCTGGATAAAAAAGGACTACATCACAATAAAGTAGGCCGATACATTAAGGAAGCACAAGTCAGAGGTTCGTGCCAGTGAAATAAGCTGTAAGTTTGCGTCCTAATCAAATGACTAGACACTAGACTTTTAGTGCGCTTTAGATAGAATCTCGCGTCATACATTAAAGGGACGATCACAGTACATCTGTGAAAGCGAAGGACGTTTTGACGTTTTCCAAATACGCTGATAATGCACATTTTTGAACCCGTCATAACCTTCTTTATCTCGGATCTTAGACCCCATTCCCATAAAGACACCATCAATCTAGGTGGATCGTCCCAACTCTGCGAGGACTTTCTCAAAGTGCAATCAATTTAATTGAATAATACGTCTCCTTTCGTTATCAACGTACTCGTATAATCACCTGCAGCTTTTCTGTATTCTACATAAGGCCACACTTTTTTATTTTTATGGATGACATCCTCTTGGGACCCCGAAATCGGTGCGAGAGGGCGAAAAAAAAAAACAGTCCAAAAAAAAAAATGCTGCTTAAGTAAAGGAATGCTGTTATTACACAGCTGGAAACACAAATTTACCACAGAAACACATATTAAACTAACAATATGTCTTTATCAATGCTCTCAAAATATTTAAGCATTGTGAATACTTCGTAGAAAGGTAAAAAAAAAAGTCGTGAATAGAGAGGCCCGAAGCCGGGGGGGGGGGGGGGTAGAAAGAACCACTCCTTTTGCTGGGAAAAGGTCCACTCTGGGTAAAATTTGATCTAGGTACATGAAGTTTTTATGGAAAAAGGTCAACTACGGGCCTGATAGATATGCTGCATATTACCAAATCTATTTAGGTTATTTCATGCATTTTGTTGGTATAACAATCAATAAAACAAATATCAAACAAACAGTGTGTCTTTATTTGTACTCTCAGAATATTAAAGCATTATGAACACTTCACAGAAATCTTTAAAATGATGCTAAGACATGCTTAATACCACCAAATCTATAAAAGGTCATTTCGGTCGATGTCATTTGGTCTACTTCGACTCACAGGAAACAGCCAAACTGTCGGGTGGCCTGACCGACCTTCTGCCCACCAAATATACCTTGTCGACCCTTTTTTCGCTACAAAAAACCTGCTATGTGCTGCTTTGGACAGAATGTCACTGAAATTTTCCGGGCGATAATCGCTGGCCGCCGTCAGCCTTTCGCATAATTGTAAAAAAGTGGAAATCTCCATGCCCAATATCAATGGCATAACAATCCAAAACGACGGCCCCATTCTCTTTATGACTTTACATAATTAATTGTCGTGTAATATGAAAGTAACCCTAGAGATGAATTTAACGGCAAAGCGGCCATATTTCCACGTGGCGATAATACGCATGCGCAGAAAGCTCATTTTCCGGCAAATTCAATAACGACGTTTGCGACAACCGACTTAGTTGGGGGGGGGGGGGGGATTTTTTTTTTTTTTTTTTCGGAGAACGGATGAAAATCGGTGCGCGCGCAGGATGTCATCCATAAAAATAAAAAAAGTGTGGCCTAATGCCAGGAGGATGGGTGTTAATCTTTTAAGCTGATTGCACTGAGCGAGATCCCCGCAAAATCGGGTAGATCTATGTAGGCCTATAGGCCCTACCCATGGTGTTTATGGAATGCACTCCACTCTTTCTTTTCATATTTGTCCACACATTTGTAAATACCCTTTCGTGGCACCATCCAAGATGCCAATGTGACAGGAACGGTAGTCCGCTAGGAACCGTAGTTCGTTCCCATTACTTTGTACAGGTGACATTCACTCTACATACTTACCCCAATACTCCGACTAACCCTAACCTGTAGTAATCATATGAGACCCCAGTCCTAGGACGACCATTCCTGTCACACCGGCAACATATTGCCGTGTTTCTGTTTCAATTGGTGAAACGGGTCAAAAGGTGAAGCGCTATTGTCCGCGTGACAATGATAAGCCAGGGTTTTATAGTTTATACCCGGGCACACCATTATGAAACACTCTCTTGAGATTGAGAGAGCTGTGTGTCAGAGAAATTTGATTTTCCTGGGTTTAAGAACAGTCGAGAAAATAATTAATAACCAAAAGTAATAATTTCTTCATTGTTTTGTGCCCTTAGCCAGAGTCTATCTAATAAACACTGTTCAAGCCTATTGTGGACACAGGTCAACTGAAAACAAGTGTTATGTTATTTCTAAATTGGTTTTGCTTTTGTACAGATGATGAAGATGAACTCACGATCATGTCCTAATGTAGGCGTCGTTTTCGTGTCGATTGTGTCCTAGTGTTTGGTGATACATGTAAATAGGCCTATAGCCCTATGTTATGTCTGGCATAATCTGAAGATGTCTATGAAAATAGTCATCTAAATAACTGTTGCTTCAGGTCTGATATTAACACCATGATATAAGTAATTTCGTTTCTAGAGAGAGACGATAAATGGTCTACCTATGAGATTTGATGTTTCAATATAGGGTCTTGATCACTCATCTTCCGACCTTATTATATTACTGTGTGTGTTGCTTACAATGCATTGGTTGCGGAAATTCGAATCTCATATGGAGAGTTGTTATCCTTTAAGTTTACTATTTTGTTTCTTTATTTTTCATCGTATTCCTGCGTTATTTTGCTAATTTGGATTATTCGTTTCACTCGTATTATGTGAACGTGAATGCCTAACATGTGCTTTAATTCTCATTCTTTGTTTGAAACTACAAGTGGGCGTCTCTAAAAAATATCAAACTACAGTCCTATACAGTGAACTGGTGTGAACCCCTGGGTGATAACAGAAAGTTAAAGACTAATTTCAATTTCTAGAGAATAATCTCCTCTGTTTTATTAGCTCCTTCACAGCAAGCAATCCGCGTGAATCGATACTCTCAGCAAGATTGCTTTCTAAACGTTTCTGAGAGGGGTGATCGGTCTGTAGTTACATTGGAGATAACTTTCAGGTTTATGGTCGGGGAGAAAAAAGGCGAGTCATGCATGTTGAAGTGATTTTCGTGCTCTTTTGATTTAAATTTGATTACTGGGCTGGTCAGAGCTGACTTATCCATTAGAACAAATCTTTTATGACTTTTAATAGATTTACGCACGACCTATCTAAATTTCATATAAACGAAATCCATATCGTTTCCCCCACCTACCGGGGTTACCTGCCCACGTAGCTGCTAGTGCAGTGCATTATTATTTTTACCACTTCATTGTGTGATTCCAGGTCATTACTTACAAGACCAGATGTAATTTTAAAGGGAAAACGGTCATAACAATTCTCCTAAGAACTTATCAGGGGCTGCAGGACAGAGACCATTTCTAACCATGTCGTAAAATATTAAATTCTCTTGTTCTTGTGTGCTTTGAAAAACGATACAGAGTGTACCATGCTTCTGTGAAAAAGTCATTATGCCCTGCTGCTAGCTATAGATGATTATTTCAATTCAATTAAAATTTATTTACGTACTATAGAAAGCTGCTCGTGGCTGTCCTAAGGGAGTTTTACGATCAGTAGAGCTAAGTATAATGAATATAATTTTTATAATGAATATAATTTATCTGTATGTAATTAAGAGCATATAAAAAGCGCCCTGAAGCTAGTGGTATAATATGATTGGCATTGAGATGACAAAAAGGAAAAAAATAAATAAGATAAAATAAAAATAATGAATGACTACACTTTAATCGGTTGTCTCGGGTTTAACAAGAGACGAATGTTGAACTTGCCAATAATCCTTTCAAAAACCTCTTTAATAGTGTTCTAACATTTTGAACTTTTATTATAATACAGAACTAAGTTTTATTTTTTCAAGGGGCACACGCCAGAGCTCTTAAAGGGTGTTAATTATTTACCCCATTTAAGATTAAAGCAACAGCCGTCCAATATAACAAGTAGGCCTATACTTTTTTCGTCCTTGCAGAGGGGCGGGCCACAGCTATGGCGTACGACTGCAAATTCATTGAAACGTCAGCCTTGCTTAACGACCAAGTCGACGAGTTGCTAGTTGCAACACTGCGGCAGATAAGGCTCAAAGAGAAAGAAAGAAAGAAGAAGCGGAAAAAGGAACAAGAAGGATGTGTGACAAAGACGGCGCGAGAAATTATATCTTTGTTTTGGAGGAAGGACAGACAGCTATCAAAATCCTGCGACGATTTGTACGGGATGTATTGATTTAATTGACCTCTGAACGTTTATATATTTTTCTTTTGTCATTTTGTATCATTTATTTCAATTGTAAAGTCATGGATTCCTCTGACATCAAGTTCGATATCTTTTGCAAGACGTTCATCAATGGAGAAGTCTCCATTAAAACTAATGGGTAGCGTTGACGATTTGTGGTTGGCAAAGCTCTGATTTAAGGCCCAATGCATTTATTTATTTATTTTCATCACATAACCAAAGACAAGTGCTCTGTACACTTATGTATTTTTAAATCAAATTGCTCATTCGACTCTATTTGTGACAGCGAAAGAACGTGAAAGGATCACCCGTATGGAGCAATGCGCCTTGGTGCAGTGCGCTGATTGTGTTTGTTGAGATATTTTTGCAGAATGCAACGGTTGCTCTGAGGAGTATTCAACTTACAGGGATTTTTATTTTTTGCGTGCCACAAAGAAGATCATTTCACTGGGTTTTAGTATTTTCTGTATTCCATCATAACCTGATAACCCGAGGAAACAATCAACTGAGATTGTGAAATGATGGGAAATGACCAAGATCACAAGCACTAACAGTGCATTTTTTTTTCTCTTTTTTAATAGTACAGAAATGCATGTTTCTCTTCTTTTAATTCAGATTTTATTTAAATTATGTGTAATTTATCACAGGCATTATATGTACACTGCTAAAAATACCTGCACATGCTTACGTTAACCTCAGCCTTTAAGGCCAATATGTTACATATATGTACAGCAGCAAGACGTAAAGAAATTATTTTTCTAATCGTTGCCAGTTCTTCTCAATTATCAAAATCAATTCTATTTGCAAGTTGTATAAATTTATTGATATAATAACAGTACTATAATTATTATAATTATAATACAATTATAATTGTTTTCAATAATTGCTATTATATATATAGAGAGAGAGATCATCTGAACTTGCTAACAGCCAGACTGTACTACAGATATCATAAGAACCATATTTAGCTTGCTGGTTATTTGGTTGTGGCTTGTTAACTGTCAAAATTTTCTTATTTCAAGAACTACTTGTTAAATAAAATACATTTTATGCTTTTTATGTCAAAGACAGTATTTTTCAATAAATCTAACTAAAAATACATATCTCTTGTCAGTTGACTTATTCAAGAAATACAAGTACATCTGGATAATTTTAAATGAGCAAAAAAATAAACAGGATATATAAATAAGTTCATTTGCAGGCAAAGTTACATAATGACTCAATAATCTCCTTCACAACTTAAAAAAGAAATGCCCTAATACTTATTAGTTTCCCAAAATATGTATAAAAAACAGCCTAATTATCCAATTTTTATTGCTATGTATTATCCAAGTTGCACACTTCCAATTCTCTACAAACAAAGCCAGAAGCACATTTTTGGAGGCTTGTCATCTTGCACTTAAGTCAAATTCTTCGTTGCTTCAGCTTAGATACCATCATGTTTCAGGCAGCGCAATGTCAACTACTTTGTCCCAAATAGAATGGAGACCATGCTGTTGACTTATAGTGTGCAAAATAAGCCACCTGACCAAGATAACAAAAAAATTAAGCATCAATTTAGGAAAAAAATTGCAGTTGTAGTCTCCAAATTCAAGTGGCTGATTACACTAACTTTCCTTTGGCCACAGACTTCATCTTCAGACTAATTAACACTGCTCACATGGACTCTGATTAGCCAGTAGTTTTCAGAGTGACCTAAGGGGTCCCAAAGTGCAGACTACCGGGTAGACACTGAGATTCATATTAAGTCAACAGTTGGTCTTGTCTTGAACTTCCTGTGAGCTCTTTCACTTGCACGGACTTGAAAGTTATTCCCATATATTGTAATTATATAACCTTCCAGCTCAAAAGTGAATACCGAATTTGGTTTGGGAATTGCTGAAACAGAAAAGGACCATTTTTATAACAAATTTTCACATATCACAGGCACAGCATGGTACCAACCATTTAGTCTTGTGGTCTGACTCAGTCTGCCTGAGTGGGAAGACATAGTTTTGACCCTTTCATGGACATAAAGTCCTTCATAAACTGTACCTGCTGTCTTCCCACTTGGTACTCAACACTAAGGGGTTGAAGCATGGGACAATTTCTGGTCTGGCAGCAAAAGATCATAGGATTTACTTGTTAGCTCTGAGTACCTCATACGACAGCCGTGATTCCTCACCAGGGAGGCGATAGCATCAACAGCCACAATGTATCTGGGCAAAAAATGACTAGACATACATTGTAAAATTCCTTTCATGTACAACTTAAACCCAATGGGTTGCCATTATTAATACAGTTATTATTATTATTATTATCATTATAGCATTTTTTTCTGATTAACAAAACATTTATAACAGTTGCACAGCTGTTAAAACTTTTTAACAACTACAAGAAACCAAAACATAACTTTTGTCACAAAGGTAGTTTTCAAACATGATACGTACTGCAAAGATAATATTCTAGCATAACAATCTTGAAATATTTATTTTCATGATAGTGTGTGTGTGTGTGTGTGTGTGTGTGTGTGTGTGTGTGTTTACAGGTGCACATGCATGTTCAGTAACAAAACATATTCTAAAACAAAACATTTCTAATTCATCAACAATATGAGACGTAAAACAGATGTAAAAACCATACATACTCTTAAGTCTATCATCTTTTGTGATCAACTTGAAAGTGTTTTTGGTCTCCTGAATGAGGATGCCAGATGTCCCAACGTAAGATGGACACTTGGACTTTGTCACTGTAAGAACCGCACCGTGAAGATCAGCCCGCAGCAAAAGTTCCTCCATCTGTGATTGGTTACCTGGAGTGATCCTGTGGGAAATGTAAAGGAGCAGATTATTATGAGTTATAAACAATTTGTACACACACTACTACACATGTGCTTGGTAAATAATAATAATAATAATAATAATAATAATAATAATAATAATAATTGAATAAGATTGCCATCCAGTAGGTTGAAGTTGTATAACATAAAATATAAAGAGCATTGCAAATAAAAATAAAACTTTAAAACTACTTTAGATGGGATTAAAAATATGTTTTGCTTTTGGATATCTAAAGGTGCCACATGGAATAAGGAGCATCAGAAACTTTTGGTAATATATTTTGGATGATTGGATTGCTCAATTAAAATGGGATTTAGTTTGTCAGAAGGTTTAGTTATTCTGTAACTTCCCTTTATATAAAATACTCATATTTGTCAGGTTCAAAGCTTCATAATAGTGTAAGACAGGGAAAATGGTCTTCAATGCACAACTTTGGACTGTCTCTAAGAGTTTGTATTGCTATAAGGTTCACCCTCCTTGCCACAATGGGCAGGCATATTCTACAATTGAGTGCACAAAACATCATTTAAAAACAACACTTTCTATTTACACAATACATCATTTAAAAAAATCCCATTTCTACTTTAGTAAAGCCTTTTAAGAGTAATTTCTCAATGAAATCTTAAGTAATCAGAAATATTCACAATATCAACTACTTGTATTCCACAAAGCACATGCATGATTCAAGTGGGGGCAGAGAAATTTTTTAACTGATGTTTATCTCACTTGTCAAAGTTGATCACATCTTTCATATAATCCTTCCAAAGCTGATGTAGTGGTGTGTACATGTCATACCTGAAATGAACAGCAAGTAATGAAGTATTAGAATGATTATATGCAGAAAAAGAACTCTGAAGAATAAAAAGGTTTTTTTTCTAAAATAATAACTTGACAGCAAAGCTGGTGCAAATACTGTATGCAAACATTAAGCCTTGAAAGTACATAAAAAAATATGGACAAAGAGAGAAAAAGTCTTAATTTTAAGACTAAAAATTTTTGTTCTACTTCAATTCAGGATAAATAACTTGTAAGTTAATAGAGCTGAGCAACAGTTTGTTCTCCATATTAAAAAAATCACAAAGTATTTAAGACTTCATATCTCACATAGCATTGTCATTAAAATTATCAATAGTGCATCTAAAATATTTTAAGTATAATAACATTATTTGTTTTGTTCATATCAATTAACAAGAAAATAACATGAAATATTAAAAATTACACATTGTGCATATTCAAGACAAAACAAGGTCTTACTTTTGATGTTCAGGTTGAATTTCAAACAGTTTCAACTCCTTTCTCTCCTTGGCTGAAAGAGTCTTTCTCTTCAACTTCACCTCTTTTCTCTTCCTGGTTCTGGGATTGTCCAACATAAAATGTGCATGCTGTAATGTAATGTCTTCACCTTGCCTCAGTCTCTTCTCTGGAAGGTGCTTTTGGAGGAAGCTCTGCACAAATTCATTTTTCTCTGCCTTGGATACATTCTAAAAAATTCACAGTATATATGTTAATTAAATTTAAGAACACCAACATAAGCATCCAGGATCAAAGACTAACATTTTTTTTTCATTTCATAATATATCAAGTCTCACCCTTGCAAAATGAATGATATAGCATAAACAATTATATAGCCCTGTTATAACAATTATATTCTGACTGACGTAAATATATACAAGGAGAAAATTCATCAATTCTAAATGATATCATTTAGATTATTAGAAGAAACAGAAGAGATGCTGAGACAGTTAAAGAAGTTCAAAAGAAGTAACATACTTACAGCCAGTTGTTACTCCTCTTTCTGTTCAGCCACATATTTAGGGAGCGCAGCATACAGACTCCCTGCAATAATATCATTTAATTACATTTAAAAATGAACTAAATTTTTACTGAAGCTGTGACAAGCTAAACTGACAGCGACAATGATTTTTTTATCTCCCTCAGTGGTGTCATCTCAAAATTGAGAGCATGCCACGTTTCAATTACTTACATGTTACTACTGCACACATTTTCAATTCAATGTCTACATTAAAAATTTCACCAAATAACAACAGAACATTAATATACATGTATATTCGGCCATATATATTTGACATCATTTATAATTCATTCGATGTAAAATCAAGGCAAAACTACGGCCTCTGTCAGAACCTTCTGTTGCTTTTTTCTCCATAACGTATTTTAATTAGAAGAAAATGGTACCACGTCACATTTTGTATGAACTACATGTTTTCATGAAATAAAAGTAGCAGAAATCATCTCCCAGCCTCTGCAGTACTAAACACACCACCATCAAGGTTAAGGTGAAATAGCCTAGACTTCATAAAACAACAATTGCTATTGGCTTATTCAGTTGTGTCAAAGCTGATGATTCGCTGATAAGTAGAGCAAATATGGCGGCGCCCATGAGAGCAACACGTTTATTTATAACAGGTACAAAAAATCCTAAATTGATGAGCACAGTCGTCATTTTCAAGGGGCATTTTTGGTAAAAGAGTATGCTGTTTTCATTGACATTTAAGTGATTACTTGATATTGAATGTGAAAGAAAAGGAAGTCAATAAATCGATGCTCCACGTACCGTACTGGGAATTTTGTTTCAACCAAATACGTTATAAATAAAAACATTACATTATAAAGTGTATTCGACACCTGCGCTAAATAACCTCTTGCGCTTCTATTTAAGTTTTTGTTATATTCACTCAATATTTAGCACGTTTAATGAATATGTGTGATTTGTATAAAACTAGATAGAGAGAGAGGGGAAACATGAACTATAAAGTATAATTTTTTCACAAGAACGTGATATTTCAATATTTACAATTACAGATTGGCGTAGTGTACGGCGGTTCAGTCTATCAGCAGCACTCAGATCACCGCAGGATGAGAAGAAATTTGACGAGAGAATGCTCCAGTACTTGGTGTGCCCTGTCTCCAAAACACCATTAAGGTGTGTATATACTGATGGTATAATATTCAGTACCATATATAACATTATATGTGCCCTATATTACTATAGTATACACTATAGTGTCAGCATGCCACGGCTGTGCACTGTAATATGCTTTGAAACTCAGGGGGCAAGTTGGACACTGCTTACATTAGCATTTATTTGTTTTTTTTTTCTTTTGCTTCACATCTCTTCATCTCAATAAAAGCTAATTTTTGTATTTCACATACAGCACTATTTACAAAAGTTGTTTCATTTATTTTATATATCCAGTTCATAACTATTATTTAAATTTTCAAGCTGTGCTATTTACTCTAAAGTTTATGACAGACAGAAGTGTATTGAAGGACACTTTGCGGATTAAAACTAACTTGTTTAATATAGAGAACAAACTCACTTTTTTGGCAAAAATGGACATTTATTGTCCAAAAAGAAGTGATATTGTACAGATTTCAATTTTCTCAGCAGCTTTGGATAGAATACAAGTTTTGATAATTAAAGAAAATTTGTTGAAATTGTTTGGATTATTTTTATGTACAGACACAGATGTGTCTGTACATATAGCCATCATCTGCGTCTGTCGTCGCCGTCGCCGTCGTCGCTGTCGTCGCCGTCGCCGTCGCCGTGCACTTTTACCGATAACACGATAAGTGGNCGACGTAAGATGGACACTTGGATTTTGTCACTGTAAGAACAGCACCGTGAAGATCAGCCCGCAGCAAAAGTTCCTCCATCTGTGATTGGTTACCTGGAGTGATCCTGTGGGAAATGTAAAGGAGCAGATTATTATGAGTTATAAACAATATGTACACACACTACTTCACATGTGCTTGGTAAATAATAATAATAATAATAATAATAATAATAATAATAACTGAATAAGATTGCCATCCAGTAGGTTGAAGTTGTATAACATAAAATATAAAGAGCATTGCAAACAAAAATAAAAGTTTAAAACTACTTTAGATGGGATTAAAAATATGTTTTGCTTTTGGATATCTAAAGGTGCCACATGGAATAAGGAGCATCAGAAACTTTTGGTAATATATTTTGGATGATTGGATTGCTCAATTAAAATGGGATTTAGTTTGTCAGAAGGTTTAGTTATTCTGTAACTTCCCTTTATATAAAATACTCATATTTGTCAGGTTCAAAGCTTCATAATAGTGTAAGACAGGGAAAATGGTCTTCAATGCACAACTTTGGACTGTCTCTAAGAGTTTGTATTGCTATAAGGTTCACCCTCCTTGCCACAATGGGCAGGCATATTCTACAATTGAGTGCACAAAACATTATTTAAAAACAACACTTTCTATTTACACAATACATCATTAAAAAAAATCCCATTTCTACTTTAGTAAAGCCTTTTAAGAGTAATTTCTCAATGAAATCTAAAGTAATCAGAAATATTCACAATATCAACTACTTGTATTCCACAAAGCACATGCATGATTCAAGTGGGGGCAGAGAAAATTTTTAACTGATGTTTATCTCACTTGTCAAAGTTGATCACATCTTTCATATAATCCTTCCAAAGCTGATGTAGTGGTGTGTACATGTCATACCTGAAATGAACAGCAAGTAATGAAGTATTAGAATGATTATATACAGAAAAAGAACTCTGAAGAATAAAAAGGTTTTTTTTTCTAAAATAATAACTTGACAGCAAAGCTGGTGCAAATATGCAAACATTAAGCCTTGAAAGTACATAAAAAAATATGGACAAAGAGAGAAAAAGTCTTAATTTTAATACTAAAAATTTTGTTCTACTTCAATTCAGGATATATAACTTGTAAGTTAATAGAGCTGAGCAACAGTTTGTTCTCCATATTAAAAAATCACAAAGTATTTAAGACTCCATATCTCACATGGCATTGTCATTAAAATTATCAATAATGCATCTAAAATATTTTAAGTATAATAACATTATTTGTTTTGTTCATATCAATTAACGAGAAAATAACATGAAATATTAAAAATTACACATTGTGCATATTCAAGACAAAACAAGGTCTTACTTTTGATGTTCAGGTTGAATTTCAAACAGTTTCAACTCCTTTCTCTCCTTGGCTGAAAGAGTCTTTCTCTTCAACTTCACCTCTTTTCTCTTCCTGGTTCTGGGATTGTCCAACATAAAATGTGCATGCTGTAATGTAATGTCTTCACCTTGCCTCAGTCTCTTCTCTGGAAGGTGCTTTTGGAGGAAGCTCTGCACAAATTCATTTTTCTCTGCCTTGGATACATTCTAAAAAATTCACAGTATATATGTTAATTAAATTTAAGAACACCAACATAAGCATCCAGGATCAAACACCAACATTTTTTTTTTCATTTCATAATATATCAAGTCTCATCCTTGCCAAATGAATGATATAGCATAAACAATTATATAGCCCTGTTATAACAATTATATTCTGACTGACGTAAATATATACAAGGAGAAAATTCATCAATTCTAAATGAAATCATTTAGATTATTAGAAGAAACAAAAGAGATGCTAAGACAGTTAAAGAAGTTCAAAAGAAGTAACATACTTACAGCCAGTTGTAACTCCTCTTTCTGTTCAGCCACATATTTAGGGAGCGCAGCATACAGACTCCCTGCAATAATACCATTTAATTACATTTAAAAATGAACTAATTTTTTACTGAAGCTGTGACAAGCTAAACTGACAGCGACAATGATTTTTTTTATCTCCCTCAGTGGTGTCATCTCAAAATTGAGAGCATGCCACGTTTCAATTACTTACATGTTACTACTGCACACATTTTCAATTCAATGTCTACATTAAAAATTACACCAAATAACAACAGAAAATTAATATATATTCGGCCATATATATTTGACATCATTTATAATTCATTCGATGTAAAATCAAGGCAAAACTACGGCCTCTGTCAGTACCTTCTGTTGCTTTTTTCTCCATAACCTATTTTAATTAGAAGAAAATGGTACCACGTCACATTTTGTATGAACTACATGTTTTCATGAAATAAAAGTAGCAGAAATCATCTCCCAGCCTCTGCAGTACTCAGCACACCACCATCAAGGTTAAGGTGAAATAGCCTAGACTTTATAAAACAACAATTGCTATTGGCTTATTCAGTTGTGTCAAAGCTGATGATTCGCTGATAAGTAGAGCAAATATGGCGGCGCCCATGAGAGCAACACGTTTATTTGTAACAGGTACAAAAAATCCTAAGTTTATGAGCCCAGTCGTCATTTTCAAGGGGCATTTTTGGTAAAAGAGTATGCTGTTTTCATTGACATTTAAGTAATTACTTGATATTGAATGTGAAAGAAAAGGAAGTCAATAAATCAATGCTCCACGTACCGTACTGGGAATTTTGTTTCAACCAAATACGTTATAAATAAAAACATTACATTATAAAGTGTGTTCGACACCTGCGCTAAATAACCTCTTGCGCTTCTATTTAAGTTTTTGTTATATTCACTCAATATTTAGCACGTTTAATGAATATGTGTGATTTGTATAAAACTAGATAGAGAGAGAGGGGAAACATAAATTTACTATAAAGTATAATTTTTTCACAAGAACGTGATATTTCAATATTTACAATTACAGATTGGCGTAGTGTACGGCGGTTCAGTCTATCAGCAGCACTCAGATCACCGCAGGATGAGAAGAAATTTGACGAGAGAATGCTCCAGTACTTGGTGTGCCCTGTCTCCAAAACACCATTGAGGTGTGTATATTGACCCATTAGAGCCTGCGTCATCAAAACAAACGGCAGCCATACTGGAGGGAGACCGGAATCGTCTGCTGCGCATGAACAAGCCATGTCTGTAGTTCAGTTTTCGTTTTCTGTATTTTCTTTCATATTTAACCAAGCAAAATGATGAATTACTGCAGGGTATTTGATCGAGAGAAGGTAACTAACTTTACAAGCGTTCACAGACTGCCTGCAGTGGTAAAAATCCATGGTGAAGGAACTAAAACCATAAACGGAGGAGAGACGGCGAGGTGGCTTTGAATCAAGACTCTTCGGAAAAGTAAAGGATAAAACTAATTTATTTTATAGCAAAGAATGAAGAGCCAACTGTGCAGCTTTTACCATAAAAGAAAAAACAGTAGAACACCAAAGACCTAGGTGTGTACGTTTGGGGCGCACGTATATATTTAAAGTAGTGCCCAAAAAGTGTGGGTGGAGAGTGTGTTAATTTGTTAAAACGTGTGGAAATACCCAGGCAGGGTTTCGACTTTTATAATGAAGACTCACCTATTGCCTTGGGTGTAATTTGTTATCAGTTACGGTGCTCTCTAGATTTTATCGGCTGTCACCTACCTCTTTAATACCTGGTTAGCATTATTCCCAATTAGTGTCAAGGCTATATTTGTACTGTACACAGCTGAGCTGGGCCAATTAAATCAAATACCTGTATGAAGAGTATTTGGAAGTTAGTGGCTTAATTTTTGATGACAGGTACAAAAGGCAGCTAGATGACACACAAGGTAGAAGCAGCAAAAAATATTCCTACGGTAGATCTTTGTGACCAGCTGAGGAGACAGGATCTGAACATCAGGAGAGTGAAATCCAGTGCATGACAGGAGTTATTTAATTGAAGCGACACTCAGAACTCGGCATTTCATGTTCACTTTTATTCATACAAAATGTGCACTTTTCCTATATGTTTAAGCAAATGGTTGCAGAAATCAATTCATGAACTGAATTATTGTTATTTTACATTGGACGTCATAAATACATAAGTGTGAAAAATGCCTTGCTTCTGTGAATGACTGAATAATAATAAAATCCTAACAATGTTGCTTATATGAATGGTTGCATTCATGGTGAATATTAAACTCTCTCAAACAACAGTCTCGTTATATGTACTTTCTAATGAACCAAAATGAAGTACAAGAATGCTGAAATAATTTAAAAAGTTGATGATGGTATAGAGCAAATGTTCTGCATACTTTACTTCTGTATAAACAAAAGCATCTGAAAATCCCCAATATAGTTAGGCTTTACATTAAAAAAAGAAAACAACAAATACCTGATATTGCAGTTTTAAAGTAAATTTAAAATATATGAATTTTGTTCACTGAATACCTAGCAAAATATTATCAATGCAAATGGTATATTAAATTTTATAAAATCAGTTTGATACAATACTTTTTATGCCAGTAGATGTATTTTGAAAACTTATTTACAACACAACTCACCAGCATTATTTTGATACAAAAGACACGTCTTTTTCATCTTTGACATAGTTTCTATTGCTCCATTGATATCAAGTGTAAAGTCCCATGGCTAATTCCCATTCTCTAAGTCCCACTTAAACTGAGGTTTGAGGATATTTGTAGTGCCTAACAAATGCTTCTGTGAATGACTGAACTAATAATAAAATGCTAACAATGTTGCTTATATGAATGAACAACAGTCTTGTTACATGTACTTTCTAATGAACCAATATGAAGTACAAGAATGCTGAAATAATTTCTGACAGCTTCACGATGTAAAGATAAGTTATAACTAACAGCAATATTTCATGTCATAAGACAATCATACATTCTTCCTTGAGTCCACAAGGGTTTATCCTGATGATCAGCTCAAATTTCTTATATCTATCCTTTATGAAAAAAGTTGCTTCTATTTAAGGTTAAACTTATTATTACACATTAAACTCTCTCAAACTATAACTGTTATTACCCAATGAACAAGAAAAATGAAGTACAAGATAACTGAACTATCTTCTGACAACACGATGTTGGGTGAGTAGCATTTAGTAGGATTTCACTTTTTTAGACTGTCTTGAGTTCATATCGGTCGATCCCGCTGATCAGCTGAAGCCTCAGCTTGTATATATCCTTTTCCCTTTGGTGTCCTTGATCGTGATGTGAAGTTTACTTTATTTTATTTGGTTTACCTATATTTACGCTACTATTCCCCGTCGTTCATTCCCTCCAGCATGGCCGCGGGACTAGTGTTACGGAGCAAATATGACGTCACTGTAATGGGTTAATACTGGTGGTATAATATTCAGTACCATATATAACATTATATGTGCCCTATATTACTATAGTATAGACTATAGTGTCAGCATGCCACGGCTGTGCACTGTAATATGCTTTGAAACTCAGGGGGCAAGTTGGACACTGCTTACATTAGCATTTATTTGTTTTTTTTTTCTTTTGCTTCACATCTCTTCATCTCAATAAAAGCTAATTTTTGTATTTCACATACAGCACTATTTACAAAAGTTGTTTCATTTATTTTATATATCCAGTTCATAACTATTATTAAAATTTTCAAGCTGTGCTGTTTACTCTAAAGTTTATGACAGACAGAAGTGTATTGAAGGACACTTTACGGATTAAAACTAACTTTTTTAATATAGAGAACAAACTCACTTTTTTGGCAAAAATGGACATTTATTGTCCAAAAAGAAGTGATATTGTACAGATTTCAATTTTCTCAGCAGCTTTGGATAGAATACAAGTTTTGATAATTAAAGAAAATTTGTTGAAATTGTTTGGATTATTTTTTTTAAATTATTATTTATGATTTTTTTGCTTTATAAAAGCATAGCTTGCATTTTTTGTTTCGTCTCTTCAGGGAAGGAGGCAACGGTGGAAATAAGGCCTCTTCCTGAGACGGGTTTCCAGTAACAAGACTGATAAAAGCAGTTTTAAATTGACAGCCTTATATTTTCACTGTATATTTTGGACATTTTCATTCCATTTCAGATACGACAAGGAGAACAATGAACTGGTGTGTGACAATATGCACGTGGCGTACCCAATAGTGAACGGGATCCCCAACTTAGTGCCAACTGATGCTCGTAAAATAACAGAAGTCACAAAAGACACATCTACAGACAACAAAAACCAGCCAGAAACATGATGAGAAGAATATAGATCATTTATTTTCACATTTAGTGACTTACAAAGGAGAGAATTTTGTTTGGCAGTTTAAGTGTTTATTATGAATACCAAAAATAATTATAATTCATTCATTCAAGTGTGCTCGTTTTTCTCAAAGAGTGTACGATACTGTTAATATTGCAGATCGAGGTACATGTCACCTTAAAGCAACATAACTGAAATTCTCTAAACATGCTTGGATTTAGAATACTGAAAAGTAGTAAAAAATAACTTCTCTTCTAGTTTAAGAAATAAAGGGACTGAAATGTTCTTAAAACTAAGGCAAGCAATACAAAAGGATTTATCTCATAACCATGTAAGTCTTGTAACAACCAAAACATTACAGGCCAGTCTGTGTGATGTACAAGCAGAGGCAATACATGTTTTAATGAAGATATTCAATAGTAAAATCTGGCTGATAACTATTATACAGAAAATAACATTGCCCACAGTCTAGCTGGAATATTGAAAATTGGAATGTATCCATTTTGGCAAATTTTATCTTCTGCCTGAAGACTCTAAATTTATCATATATTTTCAAAATGACTTTCTCAACTATGGCTGGGTCCAGATTGTTGTCATTTTCACAAGTTAGTATTGCTGTCCTCATCTTCCAGATAGATCCATGTCTCAACAGTTTAGGTTAAATTCATTTATTTAGTGCTCTTGTCTTTTAACTTGCCACACCTAAAATGAAAATAATTTTTAATAATAATGAAACTTTAAATGTTCTATATAAGGCAATTTAACTGATTTTACTATAATATTAAATGAACCAGTTAAATAGATATCCCTTGACTATGATGCTGCTATTGATTATTACACTTGGCATTTATATTTATATATAGATATGGAAACATAAAGTAGCACTAGTGATACCAAACCGCATGATAGTTTTTCTTCCTGTCATTGCTTGCTCTTGCTCTCTCTCTCTCTCTCTCTCTGTCTCTCTCTCTCACACACACACACACACATACACACACACACACACACACAGTCTAGCCCATCATCTGGCCTATATCACATACACACACACACACACACACACACACACACAGGCTGGCCCATCACCTGGCCTCTACCACTCACCTAAACACAATCTTGCAGCGAGATGGACCCAGAGGAGGGTGTGGTTGTCCCCACTGGACACTGGTCACAATCAAACTGACCCTCACTGTCCTGGTAGCTGCCCACAGCACACCTGGCACACACGCCATCATCATAGAACGTACCCCGCGGACACAGAACTGAAAATTAGAACAGAACATGTCTTTAATACATCACTTCTTTACTCTATTTCTCCACAATTCAATTTTGGAGGGGGATTATTGAATAACTGGTTGTATAATTAGAATATAATCTGAAGAGAGAAATAAGATCTTTGAATTCATAATGTGGACAAGACATATCCTCTTTCACTTCCGCATGCAAAACTCTGGAGTGTGGCATAACACAAATAGGTTTGGCATCAGACTTGGCAAAACTACTAGGTAGTCAAACTGGAAAATGAGCAGTTACTTTATAATATATTTTTAACTCTATTATCTACAGATTTCATTGTTTTCTGAGTCTCACAATTACCAAATACAACTACAAGTCATTAAAAAAAANACATATCCTCTTTCACTTCCGCATGCAAAACTCTGGAGTGTGGCATAACACAAATAGGTTTGGCATCAGACTTGGCAAAACTACTAGGTAGTCAAACTGGAAAATGAGCAGTTACTTTATAATATATTTTTAACTCTATTATCTACAGATTTCATTGTTTTCTGAGTCTCACAATTACCAAATACACCTACAAGTCATTAAAAAAATGTTTCATATAAATAAAATACTTCCACTGACCACAAGTATTATTACTGGACACAGATCCTGCTTCACATCCAAAACTACCAGAAATCACCAGAGAGTTGGGCTCATACATCAGAAACTTTCCACCACTGAATCCTAGTCTGAATCCACCAGAGAGAACGTTACTTTGGACCATCTTGGCAGCCGGCTGGAGCCTCTGGAATGCGCCTGTCATCTCTGTCTCACCTATATCAATATCAGCTGAGTATGCAAATGTGGCCACGTAACCTGTTCTGTTGATGTTCAATATACAGGGACCCACGGCAGCCGCACTGAGATCACACTCCAGGGTTTGAATACAGCTGATATTTGCCGTGAGATTTATGATGAGTTCTTGGAATGCTGTCTGAAGGAATGGCTGGAAGCGGTTGGAGCAGTTTCTGAAGGGGTAGAACAGGAACAAGTCCAGAGAGACATTCTTGGGAGGAGTGGTTTCTGGAATAAAAATGAAAGTGGCATGAAGCGAAATAAATGTATGAAAGGACACATCCTTGGGGGGGTAGGGGGGGGGGGGTAGGGGGGGTGATATCTGAAATGAAAGTAAAGGTGACTTTACATGAAAGTGTAAAACATATTTTACTTATTGACAGCCTATGCTTGATGGCAGCCTGTAAAAATTGTTCAGTACTATTTATTGAACAGCCATGCCAAAGATCACAGAAAATCAACACTGAGCTAATGAAGAAAGTATGTCTTATCAGATCTGTGCCCTGAGGTTCAGAGATTACTGGAAACATTGCCTCCACTATTAGCTGCTGCTACTACATGTACATGTACTGATACAGTGCATCACTCTGAGTCTCAGGGTGTAGACAAGGGAAAGTAAAAACCACACTAACTTCCACAGCTTGGCAACAGGGCATTAGGGTTAGACTTAGACTGGTGGTTCCATTTATAGCTGCTATTAGCACTGCAAGTGTACTTCTCCAGGGCTGGTCCACTGAAGTCATACTGAGGCTGACAGGTGGAGATGCACTCATGGAGGTCTCCAGTGGTTGTACAGTTCAGGAAACCATTCACTGGAGGTTTCAGGGGGACACAAGCTGAAAATAGGGAAAAATAAATGTTGAAAAGTATATTTGATTCGTGAAGTACATAGTGCTTAGGAAATTAATATGCATTGAGTATCTATTTCTGTCATAAGGCAAAATGAACAACCAGTTTAATTGTGACAGTGGTATCATGAAACTGGTGAATGACACTTAGTCTCACAAGCCTATCTCCTTTCATTATATTATTTATTACAATATAAAATTAGACTCAGTTTTGGAAACAAACTGAATATTGTTTACACAAAATTTCTGAGTGTCTCGTGTGTTTTGGAGAAGCGCTTGCGTATGTGTTGTTGGCATCATAGATATATGTTTATGCCCTCTCATTACCTGGACATGGGTCAGTGTTACATTGCTCCCTTTCTAAGCTGTTACCACTGCATGGCCTGCCCCCTGGTGAGGGAGGAGGGTTGTCACACTGGCGATTCCTTGTCCTCATTCCACTGCCACAACTCCTGGTGCACTCAGACCACAGTGACCATGGACCCCAGGCACCATGGACTGAAATATATAACATATATCGCACCACTTTAGTATACTGAGACCACAGTGACCATGGACCCCAGGCACCATGGACTGAAATATATAACATATGGCACCACTTTAGTATACTGAGACCACAGTGATCATGCACTGAAAGATATAACATATAGCACCACTTTAGTATACTGAGACCACAGCCAAATTCATTGTGGGTCAATTGTTATTGTTAATGCTTTTTCACCTCATAAAAAAGTTAACTTTACTTCATCGGCTATAAAAAATCTTTGAATCCTAGCCCAAAAAATCCAAATTCTTTGTAATAAAAGCACATAAATGTTTTAATGTGTTAAATGAAGAAAGTGACACGGTGTGCGTTTTACCTATCTCTTCTTGGCAAAACCTCCCAGTAAACCCACTGGGACAGACACAGGTGTAAGCCTCTATACCATCCACACAGCTTCCTCCATTACTGCAGGAGTTATCAATGCAGTCGTCAATGTTAATGTCACATTTGGTGCCTGTGTATCCTCCAGGACAGTGGCACTGGTAGCCTCCTATCTTGTTTTCACAGGTTGCACCATTGAGACATGGGCTGGATGAACATTCATTTACAGCTAGAAATGAAAAGACCCTAATCAGAAAATCTGTTTCATAATTAGCCAACTTGAAGTTGCTTAGTGTGCAGGCAATTCGATTTTACTAAAATGACTGTGACTTTATCTTCTTTCTAATCAAGGAGACTAAGTACATGTAGGAAATTACTTTCATGTAAGCTTACATCATTCATTTACAAAGGGTTCTAAAAATGAACCCATTTTGAAAGTAAAAATGTAAAATTAAAATAACTATCAAACTAATACTATACATCAATATGTTGGAAAGGCCTGAGAGTTGTTTATACAGGCAATTTCTTCATTTATTTACTGTTTCTTCATCCTTTGTCTATTATATTAAATTTTGAACTTTCAATTAATAAACATACTGCATTCAGGCAGACGTTGTCTTCATTACCCTTAGGAATCATGCCAATTCCAGATCACAAGACACTTCATCCACAAATTCCCAAAGTCCCCAAACGTTCCTCTAAGTTACTTACAGTCACACTGTGTTGGTTGTACTATCTCCACTTGGCCTTCAATACCAGTTATCACATCTGCCCACGCCACTAGGTTCCCAATCCTGCTGTCCTCTGATTGACAGTCTATTACCTTGGTGATAACATCAGTGGGCAGGACTGTATCCCATATATGGAGGCGGGAAATGTCACCTTCAAATGCCACGCCTGTCTGGATAGCACGTTCTGGAAGGTAAAATAACGTACCATATCTTTTTGAATATTGGCCAGCAACTTTAAACTTTAATAAATGTCCTCTTGCCTTATATATTTCATGTGCGGTTGTTTGCTAGCCCATGATGACCATCTTTCTTCATATAAATTACATTAAATACAGTACGTATTATTATTATTATTACATAATTAAAAATCAATATTCAATATTTTATTACCATTCAATGAACAAAAACTTTCTGACCTGATAGGTTAATATAGTACCCTAGTTATGGAGTATAAGCTATTTGCCTCTGTCATACGTGAAATTACACAAAATTCTAAGTTGACAACCCATATTATTAAAATAACCCTCAGGCTTTTTATTACACAATGTACATTCTGCAGCATCACAAATTCTTACTTCGTCTCATCTTCAGTGACTCATGTCTCTGTCCAATGACCATGTCCCCCCCTGTGGTAATACTAGAGCCAGGGACATTGGAGTAAGTGGCCACCAGCTGGCCGTCCCTGTAAAGGGTCACTCCCTGGGTTTGGCTGGTCCAGGTCGCAGTGACCTGATGCCACTGACCATCACTGATGTCCAGTCCTGTCTGGACAGTGTGACTGAAAAGAAATAAATTTTACTGACAGTAATTTTAAATATTTCTTTTGGGGAAATATTGAAAATTAAAAATAATGAAGTGATTTTCAAATGTTCAAAAATAAAACTAACCAAGTGCCTATCAATATGAATGTTATTTTAAAACATCGACTAACTCAATATTCACATCACAGTTAGGTCACAAGCTTGAAATACCTGTACCAATATCTATCATATATTAATGGTAATTTCTCACAAAATTGCAATACGCCAAACATTCCAGAGAAATTTAAGATTAAATACAAATGCAAATTTTGTGCGTTAAGAATTCCATGTACCTATTTATCTGTATCTCAATATCACCAGGATTTTTCACCCCAAACCCAGTCCCATCAGCTGCCTTATACACGGCTATCATCCCCTGGGGTTTGTTACTTCGTATCCAAGCTTGAAGTGTCAACTGGGTCAGTGGGGTGAGTCTATGGTCAGCGATATCCCTGACCACGGCATAACTGATGGTGTCTGGCTCTCCCTGCAGGAAGCTCAGGTCAAATTTGGAGGACAGTTCTGGAATTTAAATGAAAAATGATGAATTTCAAATAAAAGATATACAAATACAAAAATATACAAATACTTATATATACAAATATAAGTACCACATTTACAACCATGCACTTTGCAATAATGATAAATTAGCCACAATTTTCTGCTTTCTCTCAAAATAGAATCAACATTGCTAATGGCAACTATATTAATTCAAAATATAGCATATATCAATAATAATAATAATAATAATAATAATAATAATAATAATAATAATAAATTACTCTGTGTACAAAGTTGTCCAGTATAGCCAGGTGCACAGATACAGGTGAAATCATTCAGTTTATCAATACAAGTGCCCCCCTGTCCACAGCTGACTCCAGTACACTCATCTATGTCTACATCACAAGTACGACCCCTGAGATAATAGAGAGAATATTTGAAATAATAAAA